GGTTTTGGGGGTTCCCCCCCCACAGATCTGACAAACCTCTCCTTCCCCAGAGGAGAAACATCCATATCAACGACAACGTCCTGCACTCAGCATACGAGACGGGGGTGCAGAAGGTGGTCTCCTGCCTCTCCACCTGCATATTCCCAGACAAGACGACATACCCCATCGATGAGAGCATGGTGAGTATCTCCATCGCCGTGCACAGCCCAGGGGGTCCCTGCCCTGCTTAACTCTCTCTTGTCCCCAGATTCACAACGGGCCACCTCACAGCTCCAACTTCGGCTACTCCTATGCCAAGAGGATGATCGACATCCAGAATAGGTGCGGGGTGGGACACGGGAGAGCCCTTGCAGGCTGCGAGCACCCTCCGGTTATCAGGGCAAGGGGAATCCCCCGGGGCTCCCGGGAATTAAATGGAGCTGGGGAAGATACCTGGGCTCAGCAGATGGAGATGCTGCTGGCTGGGGTCTTCTGGGGACAGCTCTGTGCCGGAGGGGTGGGGGGGGGGGGACTGCAGCTGGGGGGCAAGCCACCTGGGACTGCAGCTGGTGGACAATCCCCTTGCCCCCCCCCCTCTCTCACCCAGGGCCTACTTTGAGCAGCACGGCTGCCGCTTCACCGCCGTCATTCCCACCAACGTCTTCGGGCCACATGACAACTTCAACATCGAGGACGGTCACGTCTTGCCGGGGCTTATCCATAAGGTCTACCTGGCCAAACGTGAGTGCGGCAGGACTTCTTATGGCTTTTTTTGGGAGGGTTGGGTGGTTTGTTTGTTTGTTTTTTTTCCCCTGCCTGCTCCATAAGCTCTGCAGGGTAGCCAGGGACAGCGGAGGTGGCTCTGATGCTGATGGACACGCTCTCCTTCCTCCCGCAGAGACTGGCTCAGCTCTGACCATCTGGGGCACTGGCAAGCCCAGGAGACAGTTCATCTACTCCCTGGTACGCATGGCCTCAGGGAGCGCTTGCCTCTCACAGCTTGGGGAGGGCAGCGTACGGGGCTGGGGGGGCCAGCACCTGGACCCCAGCAGGTCCTGGGCAGCGTTGGCCATCCTCAGGGTTGGGTCCCCTTGCGATGAGAGGGCTGGGGGACAGCAGCCACTCCCTGAGAGCCATCTGCCCCTCCGCAGGACCTGGCCCGGCTCTTCCTTTGGGTCCTGCGGGAATATGATGAGATAGAGCCCATCATCTTGTCAGGTAAGCCCTGTCTGCCCCCCACAACAAGGGGCTCCAGCCCCTTCCCAGAAAGATGAAGGAATGGCCACGATCATGCCCTTCTCCACAGTGGGAGAAGAAGAAGAAGTCTCCATCAGGGAGGCAGCAGAGGCAATCGTGGAGGCCATGGACTTCAGGGGAGAGCTTGTTGTATCCTTCGCTGCAGGCTGGCCCCCTCGCTCGCAGGGCTGCTGCGGCATGGGGGGCACCCCACTTTCCACCAGCAGCTGTAGGGTGCCAGGGGAGATGCCGTGGTCCAGAGCAGCACCCCAAGCAACCCTCCTGCCCCAGCACCTCAAACATCCCTCCCGCTGCCCCAGCCAGGACACGGTGGGGCAGAGCGAGACCTGGTTTTCCCCATTTGGTTTCCCTTAATCCCTCCCGTGCCAGTTCGACACCACCAAAGCAGACGGGCAGTTCAAGAAGACGGCCAGCAATGCCAAGCTACGGCACTACCTGCCCAGCTTCCAGTTCACACCCTTCAGGCAAGGTGAGACGAGGGGCTCCAGGAAAAAGGGGGGTCCCCCACCCACTGCAATTAGCCTTGGGGGCATCAGGGTGGTCCATCCTTTCAATACCTAAAGGGGGCTTATAAGAAGGACGGGGACGGATTTTTTAGTAGGGCCTGTAGCAAGGGATAACGGTTTTAAACTAAGAGGGGAGATTCAGACTAGATCTAAGGAAGAAATTTTTTTACGCGGAGGGTGGTGAAACACCGGACCAGGTTGCCCGGAGAGGTGGTGGATGCCCCATCCCTGGAAACATTCCAGGTCGGGTTGGACTGGGCTCTGAGCAACCTGATCCATTGGGAGATGTCCCTGGTCATGGCAGGGGGGTTGGACTAGATGGCCTTTAAAAGTTCCTTTCAACCCAAACCATTCTGTGGTTCTATGAACAAACTGCATTCCCGATCCCGAAACCTATCCCATCTTCTCCCTCCCCAGCTGTGAAGGAGACCTGCGCCTGGTTCAGCGCCAACTATGCCAACGCCAGGAAGTGACGGGCCAACGCGGCACCAGGACTGGCATCACCCGGCACCGGCATCATGCTCTTCAACTCAGGGTTGTCCTTTGCTGGGGCAGAGGATGGGGCTGGGAGGGGGAGGGGGGTGTGTATGACAGTGACATTTCCAAAGTCAAAGGGGGCCAGAGCCCAGCGAGCAGCCATCACATTCCTGCCCGCTGCTGGGAGCAGCGCGGGACGCCTAGGGCAGGGGAGGGAGGAAGGTTGGGGCACCCCGAAGGTGCTGGGACCCCAGATAGGATGGTAGCCACCAGCTGGAGCCACCACTGCTGCCTTGGCTATATGCAGGAGGCTGGCAGCTCCTGCTGAGCTGTAATGGGCTACAGTGCTAATTACCTGTAATTAGTCTGTAATAAAGGGAAGGTGATCAGGGTTGTTTCTCCAGCCCAGGAATGGCAGCTTGGCATTTGCTGTTGCTTTTGGCACATGGGGATGGTCCCGAAGCTCCCAGCAAAGCCGCCACTGCCCCAGCATCAGGATGGGGGGGGGTGGGAAACTAGAACAGGGAAGGCTCCAGCTGTAAATACGGCATTTATTAAAATATATGCAAAATAGTGTAAAACTGGTGGATGAGGAGCATCTGCCCCGCAGCGTGGTACTGTACCCACATTGAATGGCACCCGTAGGGTCCTCAGCACCACCATGTGTTCTCCACCAGGATCTGGAAGAGCCAAAAAAGGGTTTAAAACCCCTCTGGGAGGGGGTAGAGGGTCAAACATGGGGGGGACGAGTCCACGGCCAAGCCGCCCGCGTGAGGCTCAACCGGCGGTGTGGACGTGGCAGAAGTCCTGCCCGGGGATGGCTTTCTTCCGGCATCGCTGCCCAGCCCTGGTGAGCCCCTGGCATGGGGACCGTGGAGACAGCAAGGGCCTACAGAGGAGAGACCCATCAGCACCCCAGAAAGCCCCCAGCAGGGCTGTCCCTGGCCCACTGTCAGGTCACTGGCTGCACCCCGAGGTGACACCAGCCCCAACGTGTCCCTGGAGAAGGCATGTCCCCTATGGTTGGCACTCACACATCGCTGGCCAGAGACTGGCTCGGGCTGTAGGGTTTGGGCTCCCAACGCTTCCTGGTGCCCAGGGCCAGCTCTGGCATCACCTGGTCGGGGAAGAAGGGGTTTAGACAGGGCATTCTCCGTCCCTGGTGACCCTCCTGTCCTGCAGGAGATGTCCCCAGGGGACAAGGGACATGTGAGTCATACACAATGGGTGCCTTGGCCATCCATCCTTGGGGGACACCCCCCTCCACCCAAAAGTCCTCACTGGGCATCATGTCCCTGCAAATGCTGCGGCATCAGCCCTGGCCCCTCTCCCAACGGGGTGTCCAGCACCCAGAGGTGCAGTCACAATGAGGACACCCCAGCCCTAGAGGACCTGACCCTCAGGGGGACCCAGCTGGCCCCCAGGAGCAAGGTCTGGCCCAACCTGGGGACATCCCACCTAGCACCTACCCCCAGCTCAGGCTTACCCCGCACGAGCTCAGCTTTGTCCTCCAGCCACCGGGCACGGGTGACACCCGCCCTGCTAAGCCGGGGAGGTCCCCTGCCATCGCTGGGGGTTGCTCCAGGCACGAGGGCTCTGCAAGAACATGGCACGGGTGGTGACACACTCCCAGCGCTGCTGTCCCCAGGTGTTGGATGGGGACACCCTGGGGTGGTGCACGTGCCCTAGCATAGCTTGGGGACACTCGGGTAACACACATGCCCCAGCACAGGATGGGGACGTGCTGGGGCTTCAGACCCTTGTCCTACAGCCACCACACCTCCCAACTCATGGTCATCTCTCCCACATCCCCCTGCCTGGCCAGCTCTCACCTTGCAGGCGGCTCATCTCCATCCTGTCCAGCTCTTCCTGCAGCAGCTCCATTTCGCACTCCCTACGTGGGAAGAAGGAAAACCAGAGCCCCATTGTCTTGGCGGCTTCTGTGTCACCATCATGATGGCAGCCCCCTCTCC